CTAGTCTCTCTCCATGGTCCTGAACCATGACTGCACGCACAGCTGTTTCTCTGTGAGGTTGTGACTTGACCCCTGGCAAAGCCTGTTGTCACTCCTGTGCCCTCCCTGCGCAAAAGGTTTACAGCATGGAGCCCTGGGAACTTCCCCAAGGCCACGTCAGAGTTCCTCCCTCTCCTCTCTTGCTCTGCAGTGCTGGGGACTGAATCCACTGCCCTGGGTATGCTGAGCTAGTGATTCACCACTGAACACGTTTAACATTTTATTTTGAGACAGGGTCGGTCTGTGAGTTGTCCAGGCTGGCCTTTAATATTCCACCTTCCTTGCTTTAACTCTTGAGTTGCTGGGATTACAGGTGTGTGCCACCATGCTCGGCAGACAGTCCTGAAATTATTAACCTTGAACTTCCTGGAAATCCCCCCCACGACGCCAGTCCCTCTCTCTTCTAATATTGCTTAATCATTGATGTCATGGATTCCGTGGCCTGGGCTAGCCATCCAGGCAGCTGGAGGTGACATGGATTCAGGACTATGTCTCAAACTGAGACAAACTCATGGTGCCCAGGCATCTCAATTCCAGTTCTCCATCAGTCCAGCGGGAGACCCCCACATCATCTCAGTCTCTTCTCACTCTGTATGTGACCTCCAGCTTCTTCACTTCTCCAGGCTGGGCTCTGGGCCAGGTCATTACTCACTTCAGGTCTTTGAATCTGCCCCCATCTGCCTAGCCCAGCTGCCATGCTGTGATCAGACTTCTATTCCCCAGATGCAAGTCTGGGTTTGTCCACATTTAAAGTCCTTCATTAGAACAAGGCCAGCTGTGGTGGCACACACCTTTAATCCCAGCATTCGGGAGGCAGAGGCAAGTGGATCTCTCCAGGACAGCCAGGGCTAACAGAGAAACCCTGTCTCAAATAAACAACAACAAAATAAACCCATTTATTGGTCTCCAGGGCCAAATCCAACCTCTGTTACACAGCTGTCAAAGCACCTCCTGCTTCTCCTCTCTCTCCTCCTCTTCTTTGCCCTCCTCTTCCATGGGATCTCATTATTTAGCTCAGGCTACCCTCAAATTGGCTGTGTAACCCAGGTTAGCCTCAAGCTCAGTCTTCCTGACTCGGCCCTCCCAGAGTGCTAGGATTATAGGCAGATGTCACCAAACTCTATGCAGCTCTTCCTGATGTGGCCTTTCTCTGGTGATGGCATCTCTCACCATGCACACACAGCGCTCTACACCCTGGCTCCATCCCCACCTCATAAGTGGATTCAGAGAATGAAATACCCTGAAGGGAGGCATAGACTCAGTATAGAGTATGACACAGGTAAGCACCAGAGAGTGGAGGAGTTTGTTTTTACACTCCAGACGTGGAAGAATCTTGGCATGCTTCATGGAAGAGGGTGTTACCCTTGAATGGTGAGAGGATTTGGCTACACAGGATCAGAGGAAGCAGAAGACTGGAAAGAAATAAAGGTGTCTCAGGGAGCATAGAGTGACCTTCTAGAGCTTGTGGAAGAGAGTGGTAAGGGCTTAAAGTTGACTGGAATTGGGAATTTTTCTATGGATAATGTGAAGCCTATGAGATCCGTGTCGATGGGACCAGCTCAGCCACCATTGTGTGTGGTGTATGTGCGCATGCATATCCGTGTGCAGGCGTATGTACATGTGGGAGCCAGGTTGTGTGTGTGGTGTATGTATGCATTTGCAACTGTGTGCAGGTGTATGTGCATGTGGAAGCGAGTGTGTGTGTGTGTGTGTGTGTGAGCATGAGCATTCGTGTGCAGGTGTATGTGCATGTGGAAGCGAGTGTGTGTGTGTGTGTGTGGTGTATGTGAGCATGCACATTTGTGTGCAGGTCTATGTACATGTGGAAGCCAGAGGAGAACTTGTGGTGTCTTCCTCTATTGTTGGCTTACTGCCTTTCGACAGAGTGTCTCACAGAACCAGAAGCCATTGTTCTGTCTACACTGGCTGGCACGTGAGCTTGGGATCTGCCTCTTCATCTCCTCTCCCAATGCTGGGCTGACGGGCATGCAACTAATAACTTTAAAAATTATTATTTTACATGTATAGTATTTTGCCTGTGTGTATATGTGTGAAACATTCATGCATAACCCTCAGAGGCCAGAAGATAGCGTCAGACCCCATGGAACTGTTACAGAAAGTTACGAGCTGCCATGTGGGTGTTGGGAATTAAACCTGGATCCTCTGGAGAAGGAACCAGTGCTATTACCCACTGAGCCATCTCCCTAACCTCTGAACTGTGTGTGTGTGTGTGTGTGTGTGTGTGGTGTATACATGGACATGTGGAGTCCAGAGGTCAAATTTTGGTGTCTTCCTTAGTTACTTTCCACCTTACTGTTCTTTTTTGGAGTTAGCAATTTAAATTTTATTTATTTATTTATTTATTTATTTATTTATTTATTTTGGTTTTTCGAGACAGGGTTTCTCTGTAGCTTTGGAGCCTGTCCTGGAACTAGCTCTTGTAGACCAGGCTGGCCTCGAACTCACAAAGATCCACCTGCCTCTGCCTCCCGAGTGCTGGGATTAAAGGCGTGCGCCACCACCGCCCGGCCTTAGCAATTTAAATTTTAAACTAAGTTTTACCAACTTTTCATTATCTCAACAGAGCTAAATGAACACATTTGTTTGTCTGTTTTTTGAGACAGGGTTTCTCTGTGCAACAGTCCGAGCTGTCCTGGAACTCACTTTGCAGATCAGGCTGGCCTTGACTCACTGAGATTCGCCTGCCTCTGCCTTGGGGAGCTGGGATTAATGGCATGCACCACCACCGCCTGGCTAAATGGACACATTTTAGTAGGAGTTTGAATCACTTTTTATTTTTTAATTGTCCATTTTCTAAGTGTTGATGTACACACACACACACACACACAAACACACATGTTTAAGTTTTAAACTCCAGATTCCATATTAAACCTTGTGCAGAGGCTAGAGGGACAGCCTGGTGGCTAAGAGTACCTGCTGCTCTTCCGGAGGACGCAGCACCCACACCCAGCAGTTCACAACTGCCAGTAACTCGAGCAGCAGGGGTCTATTGCCCTCTTCTGGCTTCCACAGGCACTCACACATGTGACATACTCTCACACAGATACACACACACACCGACTAAAGAAATCTGACCCTTCTGCTCAGGCATACCAACATGCCCGGTCCTGTGCACGGCTGCTGTGGGCCTGGCAAAGCAAGTGTTTTATGAACTGAATCATCTCTCCAGCCTTTTAAAAGTTATTATCATTCTTGAGACAGGACATCACTATGACACGCAGGCTAAGCTTTAACTGGTGATTCTCCTGGCTCAGCTTCCTGAGCGCTAGGATGATGAGCATACACTGCCACCCCATGCTCTCTCCACCTCCATTCTAGTCCTCACTGACAGCAGAGGGGCCTTTCGGATGTGAGTTTCCAGTCATTCCATCCCTGCCCTTCCTCTACCAGTTCCAGCTGCTTCTTGAACCAAGATACATTTTGGGGGACTTCTGGAAGTTACTGGAAGACACCAGTAACTAACAAAGACACCCTTCCCACCCTCTAGTCTCGTATCCCTACTCTGTCAGCTCTAGGCAACCTGGCCTTTTTCTGGCACCTTCTACTTTGCTCAGGCAGTGACTTGGTGCACATCTGCCCTATGGGCCACTTGTCTTCCTTTATAGAAAGCGTCTATGCAATTCCCACCCATCCTTCACATCAACATTGAAGCCCTTCCTCCCAGAAGTCCTTGTTTATCCTCTTTCATAAACTCTCATATGTCATGTGTGCCTCCTCTTTAACACTTTCTGTGCTTGCAAGTTCACGTGTGTGTGTGTGTGTGTGTGTGTGTGTGTGTGTTTAAGGGCTGAAAATACAGCTCAGTAGTAGAGTGCTTGTGGAGCACAGGCAAAGCCCTGGGTTTAAGCCTTAGCATTACAAACTCCAAAACAAATTCACCTCATGCCTGGACTTGCTGGATTAATAGAAGGAAAAATAGAAAGGGGCTGAGAGACAGAGGTCACACGTTCAGTCTCAACGCTGATGGAGAGGGACCTGGACCAGTGTCCTGCCTGGATGAACCCTGTGCTTTCAAGTATAAAGTACTGAGAAGAAGTCTTCAGTTTGTCTGTGGCCCTGAAAGCAGTTACAACCAGGTTTACTCTCTGTGCCTGGGCAGCCTAGAATTTTGGGCAAGGACATGGAGCCCAGGAGGGACAGAGAGACTCTAGGGTAAGGACCCCAAAGACCTGGAGCCAGCCCTGGCTGGCGGATAGCCTTGGGCCATTAGAGAAGGGGCCCAGGATCCCCCTTGCAAATGTTTGGATATACCTCCTACCAAAGCAGCCAGGGCTAATCCAGGGACCTCCTGTCCTTATGGTCCCCACTCCACCCACATTCACCAATTTCACCAGATTCACCGGGCCCCAGAGAGTTGACACTCACTACCAAGAGAGCCCCAGAGTTACCCAGCTTGTCTTTTCTTGTGGGTTCACAAAGGTGGGCTGTGTTTTGCCAGGTCACCATCATGAAAGGAACCAGGAGAGAGGCCAGTGTCTTTGCTTGGTTTTGTGGCAAGGAGGGGTCATGGAAGAGGGATATCAGGCAGGCTGAGAGTAGAGACAATCACTGGGCTGCCTTCCAGTCCCCACGTGGCTGTGAAATTGTGCTTGGGAGGGGTCCACAGGGTTTCTGGCTTATCTGTTCCTGCAGGCTGGCCTGGACTTGTCCACCCTCTCCGGTCCTTGATCGCCACTGTACTGCCTGTCACTGCCACACTGCCCCCGCCCTTCATTACCCTGAGAAAAAACACCTGGTATTGCTTGGTTCTTTGTCCAGCAGTCCTCTGGGAGGGAGGTCTGCACAAGAAGCCCAGGTCTTGTGTCCTGGAGGAGCGTCCTGCACTGTGGGTGGCAGGAGGGGTGGGGTGTATCTGGAAGTTCACAAGTCCACTGTATGGCTTCCATCTCCCCGTGACTGAGGGACAAGCTTCCTGAGGTTTCTCTGCCCTCTCTCCACAGTCTCGAAGTAGCGTGCAGCAGGGGGACATGGATGGGGCACGGAGGCTGGGGCGCCTGGCACGGCTGCTCAGCATCACCTTCATCATCCTGGGCATCGTTATCATCATTGTGGCTGTCACTGTCAACTTCACAGGTGAGGCACAGGGGCATGGAGCAATCAGAGCCCGGGGATGGGGCAGTGGTGAGGGTGTAGCCGTATCCTTCCACTTCAGTCAAGACCATTTAGGTGAAGTGGGTTTTCTGACTCATCCTAAGCTTGAACTTATGAATCAATGGGAAAAAGTGTAGAATGGGCACCGGCCTAGGAATCAGAGGCCACAAATTCCAGTCTCAACTTTGATGGCCTGGGACCTGGGCCAGTGCCACATTTGACCGAACCTTGCATTTCCAAGTATAAGGTACCGAGAGGAGGGCTCCACCATGGAGGAGCATCACTCTGGATAACAGGTGTGATGGCTTTGGAGACTGATGAATAGGCCTTCTTGCTGCACAGTCAGGGCAGACCGGAAACAAGTGGCATATTCGGAAGAAGGCAGAAGGCAGTGCTGTTAGTACCCGAAGGTGGCCCAGGGCACTTGTCCCAGGTGGACACTGTCAGCCACAGCTTTGGGAGTGTGGAGGCCATTCACCTCAGAGCTGTCCCAAGCATGGGACACTCTGGGACACTTCTGTTCCAGAAATCAATCTAAGCCTCTCCCATAAAGACCCTGCCGTTCAAAATGTGCTCCACGGGCCGGGCGGTGGTGGCGCACGCCTTTAATCCCAGCACTCGGGAGGCAGAGGCAGGCGGATCTCTGTGAGTTCGAGACCAGCCTGGTCTACAAGAGCTAGTTCCAGGACAGGCTCCAAAACCACAGAGAAACCCTGTCTCGAAAAACCACAAAAAAAAAAAAAAAAAAAAAAAAAAAAAAAAAATGTGCTCCACGGTCCTGCTGCAGGGGCATCACCTGGGGCTGTTTTAGACTCTCAGACTCCACCCTGCACCCCCTGAATGGCAAACCTGCACTTTTGACTCTTTCTTCCTCTCTGCGGTGGTGCTGAGGATGGAGCTCAGGGTGCCACTCACGAGCTAACCACCAGCCAAGAATCTACATCCTAATAAGATTTCCAACTCAGGTACCAGTGTGGGAGGTGCTGACCTAGAGTGGGAAGTGCTCAAAGCCTGGGGCCCAGTGTAGGGTCATGGGAAGTCTTGTCTACTCAGGAGAAGCCTTGACTGCACTCAGAGTTCAGACCCTCCACTCACTTCCAGTGTCAATGAAGCTTCCTGTTTCCTAAGCTCTGAGCCTCCGCTTTCTCCACTAGTGTGGAGTTTGACGGGTCAGGAATGTGAGTAGCAGGAACCAGCAGCCTGGGGCACCGGGTTCCATATCCCTTACCGTGTCCCAGTCGACTTGTTCTGCTGCTTGTCATTGTGGCTGGAACAGGTTTTGAGCTCAGTTTGGTACAGGAAGTTTGTAGCTTTCATAAAGACATTTCAGGATGGGCTTCCCTAGTGTGGTGTGAAGCTGCATCTAGACACTCGGGGGGAAGTGACAGGAGTCTGTCTCATGCTCTTGTGCAGCTTCCAGTGTGTTGGCCTCATTTCTAGGCAGGCTCTCTCCTTATGATGGCAGGTGACAACCACCAGGGATAACAGTGTTCTGGGAGAGGCAAACATGCAAAGCAGTCCAGTAATTAGGCAGCGAATTTTTGTTTTGTTTTTTGAGACAAGATTTCTCTGTAGCTTTGGATCCTGTCCTGGAACTAGCTCTTGTAGACCAGGTTGGCCTCAGAGAGATCCGCCTGCCTCTGCCTCCCAAGTGCTGGGATTAAAGGCATGTGCCACCACTGCTTGGCATAACGATTTTTTTAAGTGATGTGTAGGGCATTGTGGCAGGTGTCTATAATCCTAGAATTTGGGAGGTGGATGTTGGAGGATCAGGAGTTTAAGGCCAGAGGGTTTAGGAGCAGTCCTAGGTTATATGAGATGCTACCTAAAGACTGGGTGTGGTAGTTTGTGTCTTTAATTTCAGGACTTGGGAGGCAGAGGCGAGTGGCCTGATGCAAGCTCCAGACTATCCAAGGCTACTTGGTGAAACCCTGTCTTTAAAAAAAAAAATGAAGGGGGCTGGAGATATGGCTCAGTGGTTAAGAGCATTGCCTGCTCTTCCAGAGGTCCTGAGTTCAATTCCCGGCAACCACATGGTGGCTCACAACCATCTGTAATGAGGTCTGGTGCCCTCTTCTGGCCAGCAGACATACACAGAGACAAAATATTGTATGCATAATAAATAAATAAATAAATAAATATTTAAAAAAATGAAATAAAATAAATAGATAAATTGTCTCTAACTACAGAATCAAGGTCCCAGGGTTGATTTTAATTGGTCCGGTTAGTGTCACATGACCACTCTCTAACCAATCACCAAAGCCACAAAATCTCATTGGTGGGAGTTCTTGCATAAGAGCCCCAAACCAAAGATGTCTCTGACCCTGTACCTCATCCTGGCTACCATTTCCCACCAAGAGACAATGCATCATGGGATCATGACTTTAAGTCAAGGCTCTGAAGACCCAGTGTTCCCAGCGTCATTTCACTGTAACCCTTCTTTTCTTTACAGTTCAGAAGTAACCGCAGAGCTGATTCTAGCAGAGGCAGATGCCAGCCGGCTGGAGAGCTCCCAACCCACACGTCCCCACACATTACAGAGGACAGGATGGTGGCTGTCAAGTCCCCACCTGTTCCCAAACTCCAAAAGCACAAACTTAGAGGGAAACCTCTACACCACTCCATTGTCAGCCCGTGGCAGATGGGAAGGAAAATCTGGAATGAAGTTGGCCGGGAACCCAATGAATAATGAGGCTGAATCTCATAAATACATCACTCGCCTTTGGACCTCAGTTCTCAGGCTTGTTTCTCATCCCCACAATTCCTGGGACTTACACGCAGCGTCAACTGCCAGAATGGGAAGAAAACCAGCCTCACAGCCAAGAAAGAAACACCACACACCCTGGGTGTGTGGACACGAGCACAATCTGGGCCGCTGTCTTTTCTATTTTCTTGGTGGGGAGCAAACAGACTCTTTGCATGGTTTGTGCTGAGCATCCACAGTGATCCTAGCCTGAGCCCAAAGGTGGAGCTGTCACTCAGCATGGGCCCTGGATACCCATCGTCAAAGAGGCAAGAGCCATATGGAAACCTTCCACTGAAGCCTGGATAGGGATGGCATGGCGCGCCTGGCGCCCTTACTGAACTTCAGCCTCAATGCTTCTCCACCAAGGACTCAGGTCCGAGAGCATCTTCCAGAACTCTGGTGTCTGTCTCTTACTTCCCATCTGTGCTATAGCTTGGGACACCAACTTGGAAGTCTTAGAACTTGACCTGATCTCGGTCAGCCATAAGGAAGGGACAGAGCCTGAGTTCTCTCTTTGGGGGTCTGGGATTCCATCTTGGTACCCACGCTAGTGACCCAGGGGCTCTCTGTAGGGCACTCGGAGTCCTACACAGAAGAGCTGAGGTGGGCCTGACTGAGGCTGTTAGCCCAGCTCTAAGGCATACTCTGTGCCTGACCATGTGTCCCTGGCCATACCCAGAACAAAGGCCTTCCCTAGAGGTAACTCTGAGACTCCTAACGGACTTCCTGACTCATAGCTTCTCAGGAGTCTTCGCGGCAGTTTGTAATGGAGGGGGCTAGAGAATCTTAGGAAGGCTTGTTAGTTCATGATCCAGACTCCCAGGAGTCTAGAAGGGAAGGCCCAGCTGAAGGTTCAGTCTAGAGAGTGGGGACTGGGACAGGGAGTAAGAGCCCAGCTACAGCCTCTGTCTTAGGACCTAGTGGAACACGGGGAAGGAACTAGACAGAGCCCTCTGACGAATAGCCGCCGCTTTTTGCCTCTGTGCATCTCCAGTTTTCTGCCTGGCAGAGCACACAGGCTGTGCCCATAGGGGCTTCACCTGCTGGCCTTGCTTGCTCTGAGTCCCCACTAACCAATGCCACACCCCACCACCATCTTCACCTCAGATCTGGGAGGTGAGAAATGATCCAGGTTCTCCTGCCCAGCAGCTAGGGATACTGGGGAACAGGTCCAAAGCCACAACCACACTGGTTGGAGATTGAAAGTTCATTTCCTCTGAGCAAATTTAGGACCTTGATACCTCCTCCCCAGGGTTCCCTGCGTGGCTCCCTACAATCTCAGAGATGACCCTGGGCAGAGCAGGTTAGCACAGAGCACTGGCCTCTAGGAGATGCTCTGGGGCTCCCAACAAGGTCAGGGTAGTGGCTGGGAGGGTTGAGGGGTTGGGAGCGTCTCATTAGGCTTGGTGCACCTAAATCAGGTCCCTATTTGGGGAATAAACTTGGGCTTATGTTCCTAAAACAAGGACTGGCTATGCACACTTTATGGAATTTTTGAAGCCAAACTAGAGTTGTCCCCATTTGCTGTGGGAAGTAAGTGGGTCAAGGGAGATGTCTATGGAAACAGCCTGTCACAGGCTCCTGATCCTGAGTGGGCGTCTCCTAAAGTCCCCCCCCCCACACACACACACTGGGAGTCAAGTTTTGGGAAAGGAAAGACACTGTCCAGGGACTGTCCCGAGGGGAGAAGAGGCAGAGGCAGCTTTATCTTCGGCCTCGGCATCGCTGGAGTCCAGCCCACACCCAGCCATTCCTTCCCATCCCCTACTCACAAGTGCACAATAGGTCTGTCATTCACATCCTCACACACGTATTCACACTTTAGCCTGGAACAATTGGGGTCTCTGCATCAGGGAACGGCTTCCATTTGGGCAAGAGAAACCTGAGAGCCTTCCCGTGGTTCCAGAAACACAGCCTAGAGATTCCCGGGTGTTCCCTGGGCAGAAGGGAGCACAGGGCAGGAGGAGAGAGCCATTGGGGTGGAAGAAGACTGAGAGAGGTTCTCTCACAACCCGGTTCCCACGAAGCTGGAAGGGACAGGGGCACGGCTGTCCCAACACTGTCTTGGTTTGGGGCCAGCTGCATGAACACAGTGGCTGAGGGCACTGACCTGGCCTCTCTTGGGCATCCTGGTGAACAGCAAGAACCGGCCCCTCCCCACCACTCACTAGTGACTCTGTATTTCTTGGCATGGAAAGAAATAAAGCTGAACATATGTGTTCCCTGTATGTGTACTGCTGAGGTCGGGGTTCCAAATGGCCAAGCAGTCTACCCAGGCTGTCAATCACTGGGCTGGGCTGTGGGCCTGGGGATCCTGTGGTCATTGGGGTTCCACAAACAATTCATGGCATTCCTGTGGGCAAGTCACCATTCTCTCCAGGCCTTGGCTTTACAGGTGGGCAATGGCTGGTCCCGCCTTCCCTGTCTTGTTCGTGTGTGCACACAGATGTGTGTACATGCAGATGTATGTGCATGCTTGTGGAGGCCAGAGGTCAACCTCCAGGGTTGTCCCTCGGGAGCCATCTAGCTTGTGTTTTGAGACAGAGTCTCTCACTGGGACCTGGGCTTGCTGATTAGGCTAGGATAGCTGGCCAGCCCGCCCCAGGGACCCCCCTGTTTCTACCTCTCAGAAGTGGGGTTGCAAATGTGTAGCACCACATCTGAATTATAATATCTATCTATCTATCTATCTATCTATCTATTTTTGAGATAGGGGTTCTTTGTGTAAAAGCTCTAGCTGGACTTGAACTCACAGAGATCCATCTACCTCTGCCTCCCAAGTACCAGGATTAAAGGCGTGCACCACTACCATCTGGTTTCCCATCTGGATTTTTACGTTGAGTGTTGGGAATAGAACTCAGGTCCGTGTGTTTGCATGGCAAGCACTTTACCAACTGAGCCATCTCCCAAGACCCCTTCTGTCCTTCCTGTTCATGGTCCAAGATCTTGAGCTGGAGAAAGAAGGCAGGAAACCAACTTTTGTTGTGCATGGCAAATCTCATGGCCACCCTGTGGGGTAGCTAGCATCACTATCCCTGCACTCACATGGGTAAACTGAGGCTCAGAAATATTCCGGGTTTTATCTAAAGTCACACCATGCTTGACACACAGAAGATCCTAAAGACGTTTTGGTGAGGTAATTCCATCCTCAGCTTCTTACCAGAAGGAAAAGCCCAATGGAAGGAAGGCAGACAGGGATGGTTTGAGGGGGAGGAGAACTGATTTCTAGCAGCTGTGAGCCACAGGCAGGGGCTGTTTTCTTGGGTGGGGGGAGGGAGCATTGCCAGGGTCACCAGGCTAGACGACCAATGGTTATGGAAGGAAATGCTGTGAGCACAGAAACGGGAGGGGGAGGGAGGGAGAGAGGGTCCTAGGGCTCAGGAGGAGCAGGACAAAGTAGGTCAGGTCACGGTCATAGGTTCAAATCTCAGCGGGCTATTTACTAGTTGGGGCCCCCTGGGGAGGCTCCTAACTTCTCCCAGCCTTATCAGATCTGAAGTGTGAGCATTCAGTGAAATAATCCATGTCAAAATGAGAACATGACCTTCACAATCAATTCAGATCTACCTGTCACCCAAGAGCTGAAGTCAGAGTACACATGGGACAGGACCCATGAGACCGGAGGCTAAGTCCAGCTTTCTCTCATGCCTTAGGAGGAGTGCCCATGCCCATACTTGGGGGCACCAGCATCATCTTAACCGCCTAATGCCTCTGAGAGGGCTCGTTCATATTCCTGAGGTGAAGCAGGACTCAGAGAGGCACAAGGTGCGATGGGAGTGCTAGGCTTGAAGGTGTGTGCCACCACTCCAGGCTGCTGCTGCTGCTTCTTAATGGAAATGAAAGGAGTGTGGGTAACAGGGGCCTCTCTGGGCCTTAAGAAGCCTCTATAAAGATCAACATCTTCAGCCAGGCAGAGGTGGCACACCTTTAATTCTAGTACTTGCGAGGCAGATGAATCTCTGTGAGTTCAAGGCTGGTGCCTGGTCTACAGAGCTAGTTCCAGGACGGCCAAGGATCCACAGGGAACCATCTAGAAAAACCAAAAAAAAAAAAAACCCACAAAAAAAAAAAAAGGAAAGGAAAAAAAGACAACTTCTAAGGTGGGGGTGGTGGCAGCTTCTTCCCCACCCTCCTGAGCTGTGACAGAAGCATCTTAAAACAAAGAACTCCCAGAACAGGGGCCCTGCGACTGGTCCAAAACGTTCAAAGCCTGATCAGGACACATTCACACTTCGGTTGTGGGTCAATGACCACCCAGACTTGCTTCAAACTGATCGACCCTAGATTAGAGGAGGAAGATCCTTCAAAGACTTCAGAAACCAAACCAAAGAAAAACACCAGCCTTCAAGAGGAGGCTGGGCTTCCTGCGTGCCCTCTGCTTCGGAGACCTTTCTCTCTGTGTTGTTGTATGTGTGCGCTTCCTTTCCTTTAATGGGAGCCATTTGCTGGCTGGGGAGCAGGGGAGCCTGCACTCTCTTCCAGGAGGACTGGTCACTTTAAAGCGCTTCACTGCACAGCTCTGTCTATGACTGCCACACTGCTCGCAGCTGCCGCCTTAGGGCTGCATGGCAGCCATCTTCTAAAGAGCATTACCATAAACCCTGAAGGGCCACAGAAAGCAGAAATGCCACTTACATGGGCACCATTATTAGGGCTACAGAGACAAAAGGCAAACATAAGGCAAGAGCCCATACTGTAATGACCAGGCCATGGCCACCTGGAGCCCGAGTG